TGCCCTCCAGAACCCCACCCCTACCTAAGCCTCCCTGTGCCTTGTCCCCTAACTGCCCCCTCCTGAGACCCTCCCACCCATACTCTGACTGCCCAAAACCTTACACCCCCAACCCCCAGACAGCCCCCCCCAAACTCCTGACCTATCCAACCCTACCCCTGCTCCCTGTCTCTTGACTACCCCCTCCAGAACCTCCCTGCCGCTTCTCCGACCTCCTGGCCCCCTTACCGTGCCGCTCAGAACAGAGTGCTGCAGAGCAGCGCGCTCGGCAGCAGGGGGAGGGGAGCAGGGGGCAGAGCTCCAGACTGCCGGAGGCCCGAGGCGAACGGCCGGCCGGCGATCTGCGAATACAGGGATGGGGAGAGAGGAGGGGAGTGATCTCAAGTTGCAGGGGAGAGGAGGGGGAAGTGAAGGAAGGGCTCTGGCTGCCGGAGCCCCGTGCGAGTGGCACGATCCGGCTGGCTGCCCTGTAAGCCGCGCACGCTCTGCATGGGGGGAAATCCAGACATTGACAAATTCCCCCCCGGACGCTATTTTTAACTCAAAAAAGCCGGACATGTCCGGGGGAATCCGGACGAATGGTAACCCTAATTTTGTGGTTATAGGTTATCAAGGGCCCCAGCAAAGTATGCATACCAACGGGACACTAATTTTACATTTGCTACATCAAGTCATGGGTATTTTCGGTGTGGGCACTGGTGACCCTAAAAATAGTATTTCATCCTGTTATCTTATATTTGTCTCCTGTTTAATATAATTATTGTGCTGAATATATTTTTGTGTGTTTGTGTTGTTTCTTGGAAGTCTCCAACTATCTGGCAAGTAAGTGGGGATTACTCTTTAGTTAGAATTTTCCGCCCAAGCTGCCCTGGTGACCATGCCAGGAAGGAGCAAGGGGGGTTGAGGCACCGCCAAATAATTTCATAGGAAAAAAAGAAAGAAGATACACCCTGCTGAGTGGATGGCAGGATCCAAAAGAACCCAGACCCGTCCATCAAAACCTGTAAGCGGATTGGCATTAAAGGAGGTAACCAGGTGGAGAGGGGCACTACATTTATATTGCAGGAGCATCTAAAAACTCCAACTTCATTGTGCCAAGCACTGAAGAAACATATAAAAAGACAGACCCTACCATGAAGAGTTTACAATGTAAGTAAAACTTCCATTGCCTTCAATGGAGCAGAATTAGGCCAATACTGAGTGCTTTAGAAAATCCCATCCTGGATATCTTGGATTCTATAAGGGCTTGGTTCAAAGCCCATTGAAATCACTGGAAAGACTGCCAATGAGTTCAATGGGCTTTAGGGTAGGCCCATACCCATTCCATCAGGTGACAATGCTGACCAAGTGATTTTCAACAGTTTTCCTATTCAGAGACATCACATCAGCCTCTCCGTTAATTCTCTCTTTTGGGGGCCTTGGATCTAGCTGTTACATAAATGGATTCATCAATAGAAGTGATGGATAGAACAGTCTTCAAATATGTGTAAGCAGCATCTGAATGAACTGTCACCGGACAGCTAGTTGGGGAGGGACTTCAGGAGCAAATTGTATTTACATGAACACCAGGGCTGGCGCAACCCATTAGATGACCTATGCGGTTGCCTAGGGCACTACAATTTGGGGGGGCGGTGACCTTCCGCCGCCTAGGGCGGCAGAAAAGCTGGCGGCGCTCCTGATGAACACACTTACTCTGCGTAGGAATCTAGCAGACAGGATTTATGTAGTGATCAAATTTGGCTGGTGTTGGGTTACAAATCACTTTAGTACTGAATGCAGGGGTAGTGAAATGTTAATCAGTGTTGTTGTATTTATTGTCTGAGTAAACGGGTGCAGAACTTTGCTTAACCCAGGGGTTGGCAACCTTTCAGAAATGGTGTGCTGAGTCTTCATTTATTCACCCTAATTTAAGGTTTTGTGTGCCAGTAATACATTTTAACGTTTTTAGACGGTCTCTTTCTATACGTCTATAATATATAACTAAACTATTGATGTATCTAAAGTAAATAAGGTTTTTTAAATGTTTAAGAAGCTTCATTTAAAATTAAATTGAAATGCAGAGCCCCCCGGACCGGTGACCAGGCCTGGGCAGTGTGAGTGCCACTGAAAATCAGCTCCTGTGCCACCTTTGGCACGCGTGCCATAGGTTGCCTATCCCTGGCTTAACCTGTCCCAAATGAAGGGGTCACCCTCAGCTGAAAGGACCTCAAATGCCAGACCCCTGTGAAGGAGGGGGAGGCAGGGGCAGATAGGGGTCCCAGGCAGGAGGTGTGGGCTTTCCCTAAGGATCCCTGGTCTGGTTTAACTTGTTCCTCCTCACTGTTCATAGATAGAGCTAACTGGGCTCCATTAGGAGCCTTTTGTTATTTTAAGTGTTTAAAAGAACTGACAATCACTTGTGGTGGGACAGTATCTCTGCCCAATCTCAGAGCTGAAAATCACTAGAGCTGGGTAGAACCTGGAGACTGACCTGCAGAGGTCACAGCAGAGAGGCAGGTGGCAGAAGGTGACCAGCAAGTGGAACGGCAGCTGGCAAGGCCGCCAGCAGAGTGGAATGAGCAGGTGGCAGGTTGGCCAGAGGAGCGGAATGAGCGGCAGGCAGGACGGCCAGCGGAGAGGAACCGCGGCTGGAGGGGCAGCCAGCCAGAGTGAGTGCTCAGATGGCAGAGCAAGCAAGCTGACTTCTTCCCTGGGTGGGAGGTGAACTTACACAGATGTACCTCTGAACCCTGGGTCCTCACTGACCAAGCACAACCACTGTGAGTGGGGTCTGGTGAAGGAGCAGAGAGGGGCACAGAAAAGGAACTTTTGGTTGTAGAACTCAAGAACATGAGGCAAAAATCACTGTCCCATGCATTCTGCTCAGTTTTATGATTATGAATCCTGCTTGTGGCATTTTCCCTAATTAATGTCAGGAGACTTCCCTCCTTTCCTTAAAAGTTTTTTTTCTACACTCAGACTCTTTGCTTGCGAGTGGGGAAGTATTGCCTCTCAGAGGCGCCCAGGAGCGGTGTGTAATTTTCCCAGGTTATTGGGTGGGGGCTCGAGTTGGTTCTGTGTTGTATTGTTGAAAAGGAACAACTAGATATTGAACCTGGCCCTGGTTGCTGCCAGTTCTATCTGGCAGAAGGGTTACATATGTAAAAGGTTGTTATAAAGAAGACAGTGATCGATTGTTCTCCATGGCCACTGACTGTAGGACAATAAATACTCTGCTTAATTTATAGCAAGGGAGATATAAGTTAGACATTAAGAAAAACTTTCTAACTATAAGGATCGTTAAGCACTGGAAAAGGTTACCTACTGAAGTTGCAGAATCCCTGTTATTGGAGGTTTTTAGAGACAGGTTAGACAAACGTGTCAGGGATGGTCTAGGAGGTTTACTAGATCCAGCCTCAACATAGGGAGGACGGACTAAATGAACTCTTTAGGTCCCGTCTATTCTATGAGTCTATAAGTGCTGAGCTGCCATAATGCCAATCAAATAGGAGGTGCAGATGCTCCACACTGCTGAAGATTAGAAGTCTCTCTGGTATAACTGTAGATGATGTATATATTGTTTTTATGCTAATGAAACAGCTTAGTCAATTCCACCCATCCTTACAATTATATAGATGAATATTAAATTAAGATTATGCTATAGGTTCAATAAATAGATAAAGCAGAATTGGTGCCTATTAAATGGGAAACTATTCTAAATTATCCAATTGTAAAGGCAATACCATGATAAATAGGTGTTTCATTGCAGCAAAGTATCAATTTGGAAGAGCGTAGTGCCCTAAGTGAAGATGATGGCCTTCATCCAGCTGATCAGTAAGGACCTCATCCAAAGTCCATTGAGCTCAATGGGAGCTTTTCCATTGAGTTCAATGGGCTATGGATTGGGCCTCAATTGCATTGAAATTCTCTGTACGTCATTATTCCTCTTATAAACTGAAAATAAAACAGTGAAGAAAAAAATTAAGTAATTTTCTTATTGTGTGTTGAACAGATGCTCTGCCCATTGCCATGGATACAGTGCTCTTTTTGCAGTTCTGGTCTTTTCCTAAATATTGAGACAGTCCAGTAACCAACAGGAAAGCAGGACTTAATTCTCAATATTCCCCTAGATTTATAATTGACAGCAAACCTATATTGGCACCTGGAGTGAATTTTTAAAAAGTCAGAAAAACTTGTCAGTTATTGTTTGGGTTTCAAATAAATCCTGTACCACCCTAGTCGCATTACAAAGACTTTGCAAATATAGTTCAGATTTTCAAATTTTAAGAGAGAGCAGTAGTGTTTTGGCCTGGCTCAAATTGCCAGACCTCACTTCACCTCAGAACAGAAACAGTTTTGGAACAACTGTTATGGAGAAATTACACACTATCCTTTACCAGCTGAAATCAAACATTAATACTAATCCAAAGCATTAACATACTGCTTTCATTGTCACTGGAAAACTTGGAATTGATTTACAGTCTCTGTATATTTAAACCAGAGTTTGGGTGGGGACGCATCAACAAGCTGTTGCTGGAGTAGGAGGTATACTGTTAAAGCTCTGCAGCGCCAATGATTTTTCCCTTTTTTTAATTGCATTTGTCACTGTGGTTTCTGGAGCATAGTAGTCAGGATTTAAGCTCTGGAAATGGGTGCAGCCTAATTATGTCTAAAGATGAAGCTGAAAGTGAAAACAGTATTCAAGATAAACTTCCTGTCATTAAAGCTACAGTGCAGCAGGCAGCCTTCTTTTCATGATCCCACAAAGGATTCCAGAAACGTACTAATATTATCAATGATGAAGAGTTAATTGATGCAACACTGTTATCCTTGCAAGACACTATTACTTCAATGAACGTAGAGCTTCAGGATATGAACAAGAAGGCTGATATAGAAACAAAGGCCTCCTTGTGTGCCTTGCCTTCAAGAAATATGGCACAGTACTTTCAAAGACACTGTAACCACAGACATAAAGGGACAAAATCTGCCACATTTATGCAGATGGAGTAGTATCTTACACCTTAAGTAGTTCCATTGACTTGAATGGGATGATCCATGGAGTAAATTGCAATTCAGGGTGAGTAAGTGCATCTAATCTGGCCCTTAAATTCCCATAAAATAAATTAAAACTTAAGGATAACCAATGTTGTTATAGAAGCATTACAGAGTTTAGTTATAAACGCTTCTGGGCTGCCTTTAAAAAAAAAAAAAAAACTAGTCTGCCCTTAGCTGTAGGTTCCAGTAGTTAATGAGATCTATTAACTTTTTATTTTACTTCTACTATAAAGTTGTGCTCTTTAGGATGTATGAAACAATTTCTAGATATTTGAGATCTGTTGAAAATATACACATTTCCAATTTTCTAAGAAATATAGAGCAACACTTCAAAAAATAAACAAAATTTAGTAGAGTAGCTAGTACAAATCTGCCATCTTAAGGTAAAAATGCCTGAGGCATTGCAGGGACCAAGAGCTACTAAGATTAACACTCTCTACTAATTGAAACTGGAGGTTTCTTAACTTCAAACTAGGATTATATGATCCACTATCAATCAAGAAGTTTAGCCAGCCAGGAACCAATAATGTCTTGTCTTCTTTGAGAGTATAAGAACATTGTCCAGAACCTGCTTGCTTTCTACGTACTTCTAGGTCTCAGTTCTAGGGAAAAGAGATTACATTCCATTCAGGTGCCCAGGTAAATATTAGTCTGTAAATATAACAACTTGCATAATGTGTAACAAAAAGTACGGTCAATTGTGGTGTTGCATTTTGTCCTCCCAGTTTATGTGACTATAGAAACTTCCCCTCCCTGCAATCATAAAAAGACACCTAATTGTTGGGCGTTGGCTGTTCTCCCCTGCCCACTTTTGGAGAGTGGGGGGTGGGGTGGGGGGAATAAAGCCTCAAAAGCCACTTTCGGTAAACTTCCAGCTGATGCCATAGTTTTCTTGTACCGTAAACAAGAAAAATGAAAACTAAACAAACTAAAATATTTGTTCCTTCTTCCTCTATAGGAGGACTCATTTCCCCCTTTTAAAGTGTCTAAAGGAATTAAACCAATATTGCTGCATGAAGACAATTATCAGAAGCACTATCTTCAGCAAATTGCACGGCAGAGCACTTTAAAGGTACCACTCCTTTTTTGTTTAGTCCTGGAAAACTATGCAGCTCTGTGGGGGAAACGCAGGGAAATGTCACTGCCAGAAAATTTGTAAGGATGATAGAACAGAGCGGGGCAACACACAGTACTAAAAATAGTAAAGCTTAGAAAGCTATTCATACAAGGCAATAATAAAATACCCAGTAGAGCCACAAAATTACCATCTAAAAAAAGAGCGTTTGGAAGGACTTTAATAGAAAATTGCAGATTAAAAAGTTATTCTCTAGTCTTCACAATTCTATTAGTTACTGTCTAGAATAATGATGATTCCGTCCGCCCACAAGACATCAACTGTTATTTGCTTACATCCTATTATTCAAACAAGATACTTAGGAAAGCCACAAAAGTTGTGTATATGTTGCTTCAGGGATTTGTTGTACCTTGATTACTCTAATTTTTTTAAGAGGAATCTGTGAAGATTAGTGAGAAAGTAGACCTACCTCAGGCCTTGATCCTGCATGCAGTTATGCATGTGCTTAACTTTAAGCTTATGCATAGTCAGTGACTTCACTGGGACTGCTCAGATGAGTAGAGTTAAGCACATGAATAAGTGTTTGCAGGTAGTCAGGGCATGTTGTTTAACAAGAGGTTCATTTAAGCAGGTCCTTAATGTGGGGGTCAAGGAGATGCAAGCAGCCCTCCTCTCCTTCCTATAATGCTAAAATTACATTCTGGCTAGATGGATCTAGCTATTTTGAGAACCAAAATATACATATGTGTATTAAACACCAGAAGATGCTTCTCACTTTTTATTGACAGATGATATTCAACGGCTGAATAAAAATGGAAGATTTGTTAGTAAATATTCAGCTGAAATATCAGGGATAAATTTATTTAGTACAGCTGCATTGTCTGATCCCTGTTACTAACATTTTAAGAACCATTATATAATTTTTGTATATGCGAATTATTTTGAAGTGGCATAATGTGGCATATTGGTTTAGCCACTTCAGATGCAATATTGGCCTTACTTCTCCAAATCTCTGGGTAATAATGTAAAAGATAACTAATCCTTCATCTTTCTTGCCTGGAAAAAGAGAATCCTTGGTACTATGCCAAGCAGGTGTGATGCCCAAACAGATGTGATGCTAAAATTCTTTGGGAGTTTGAAAGGGGATATTCTGGGTCAAGGTACTGGATCCTGTCTTGTAAACTTTTTTCACTACAACCAGTACCCATTTGATGGATGTCACAGGAAATATGGCACATAGCTTTCAGGAGATGACTCCCAGGAGACAAAGATCAACCAATCAGAAAGATCTTATTTATAATTTACAGTAGAACCAGGCACTTGCTGCATATAACAGAGTTCAGCTTACTTAAAGTTCCAAAGCTATTAAACTGCCTCATTCTTAGGTTATGCTCCTCTATACTGGCAGAGATGAGGTAGTGATAGCTACCAACATCTTCAACCTAAATAGTCTTTAAAAATAAGTATTATAATGGATCTTTTCAGCATCGAAGCATGGCGCTCTAAGGATCTTTCTCTGTACGAAAAATATAAAATTAACAAAAGAGTGCCAGAAAGCTTATTCTTTAGATGAAGAAACTACATTTTCTATACACCCAGGAAGAACATATAATATTATTTTATTTATGTAAAAGGTCCCTCTAACAAATAATTAAGACAATCTTCATTTTGAAATTTTAGATTATTTAAAAAAAAAAGTAGGTGATACCAAAAAGACTGATGTACCAAAATACTCAGATTCTTCCCTTGCATAGATAGGAAATACTGGGTCAGGAAGAGAGCCAGCATAAGGACATCCCTGCTAAGAAACCAGAAAAAGGCAGCGCTTAGACCTGAACAACAGCTTAAAAGGGCCCTGTCATCTCATTTCTCTCCTCTGTCCCTCTTAGCAACCACAGACACAGCAGAGGACACACCCTGCCAGGGAACCAGAAACACCCAGCAACTGGAGCCTGAATGAGAGCTTGAAAGACTGCTTTGCAGTCACATTTCTCTGTTTCCTTTCAGCAGTAACAGACCCAGGGTAGGAGTGGCTTCTGTAAACAAATGACATTGCAACCACTGCAACTCTTTAAAATGATATAACTGCCTTCTGCTGATGAGAGACACCCAAAACACAGAGAAACTCTGTCCTCCTCCCCCGCCCCAGAGTCATTTGTGCTCCCTAACTACCAGCATGAACTGAGGCCAGAGGTTGCACCTTGTCTCACCTTAAAACAACCAAAACCCTTTGCTTATGTAAATAGGTTTTTGTTTTTTTAAGCCTATTCTATTTGGGAACAAAGCATGGACCTTTTCCACAGCACAGCACCCAGAGGTGTGGAGCAAACTTGCTATGCAGTGGCCATCTTCCCAACCCCAAGATCTGCACTAACAACAAGCACAAATAACACACAACACTTCTCCAAACGAAATCAAAGATCAGGAAGCAACACGCTCCCTCCCCCCCACCCCCCTTCTCACCTGTGGAATTCCACCAGGATCCGTCCTGTCTCCCATTTCTTTGAACATCTTTATGAAGCCACTAGAGGAGACAGAAACAGCATGGACTAAAATGCCAGCAATGTGCAAATGAGATGATACCCATCTCTACATCATCTTCACATCAGCTGCAAACCATCTCCCAGCTCTAATATTTTGACTAACTTCAGAAGCTAGATGAAAAGCAGCTGGCTGAATCTAACATCACACTCCACTCAGGATATCTGTCCTCAGATCATTAATGTAGACTGCCATCTTGATGTTTATCTCAACTCCTCACTACTTCTGGATTCTCTGACAGTTGTGGCTACAAAAAAGTATTTTCTAGATATATCTGGAAAGAAGGCTGTGCACCCTTTCTGTTGGATTTGGAATTAGGCTGGTGATCTACTTATTTGTGGCCTCCAAGCTTGATTATTGTAGTTCTTTGTATCTAAGTCTGAAAACACCAACCTTGAAAAGCTGAAGTTGCTCAGGACACAGTAACCCATCTGCTCAGCAGTGCAGACCGCAGAAAAGACAACTTTTCTGTGCTCTATGCTTAACTGGCTCTCAGATGAATACTAGGTCAAATTCCAGGTTTCAGATCTCATCTTCAAATCCCTCCATAGGACTGGCCCAAGGTACCAGATATAGCACTTCACCTTGCATGATCATGACTTCCCACAAAAGCTGAACCCACTGGAGCAATGGAACAGTCAATCTCAAGAGTCAAACTTGTATATGCAGGAAAAAGAGATTCTTGCCAACTAATCTGGAGCTCATGGGAGAGATCAGAATGATCATGAACAGGGCCGGCTCCAGGAACCAGCCTGGCAAGCAGGTGCTTGGGGCAGCCGCTCTGGTGAAGGGCAGCACGTCCAGGTATTCGGCGGCAATTCAGCAGACGGTCCCTAACTCCCACTCGGAGCAAAGGATCTCCCTCCGAATTGCCGCCGCAGATCGCAATTACGGTCTTTTTTTTTTTATTTTTTTGGCTGCTTGGGGCAGCCAAAACCCTGAAGCTGGCCCTGATCACGAACACCAGCATGTTCACAGTAAAATGCAAATCCTACTTCTCTGACCTGCCTTCTGATCCACCCTTCAATAACACAATGTTATTTAAGAAAAGGAAAAGGGAAAACAAAACAAAAATCTATGCAAAACAAGCAGACTGCAGACTCTGCTGCCTACAGAGGAGGGAAGGGAGGAGAGAGAGAAATATCTATGTGTATACTTTATATTTTATGGAGATGCTCAAATACAGTGGTGTACAGGCCATATAAAAACATAGGTAGATAAATGGAAACACATAATGATTCAGCATGATCAGATGTGGCAAGACTATTAGTCAGGTGGGATTAGCTATTGCCATCTTCAATCAAATTTTAAAAATAGATCTTTCTTGTGTATGCCTCGTTTGTAATAAAGTGATTATCTTTCTCATGACCCAGTGCAAATTAGATGACTGTCTGTATATTGTATCCCTGTTAGCTAAAAGGCCACTACAAATCTTTAAGTGTTTCTAATGCACTCATTATCATCATAAAATTAGATGTGCATGATGCTTAGATTCTAACTGCAAAAGGACCTCAGCTCTGATGCTCGTTATAACTGCTGTACGGTCTAAGTAGGATCACATAGATGATTGTTGTCCAGGAAAACATTGCTTGATCATTCTGTTCTCCAGTACTGGGGGAAGGCCTTTATTAATAGATGAGACTTACAATGTGACTTAAAATTGGCAAGATGATCCCAGGAAGCGCCCCATGCTGCCAAGGAAGGTGGGAAAAAACCCCAAGGTCACCTGTCAATCTGACGTAAGTAAAAATTCCTTCCCGATCCCATATATGATGGTCCATTTGACACTGAGCATATGAGCAAGAACCAGGCAGGCAAGCAAGCATCTGAAACAAAGAATTCTCAGTACTACCTCAGAGCACTGGCCCACCCTGTCCAGTGTCCCATCTCAAGAGGAAGGAGATTAAAAAAAATAACCCCATCACCCCACCCCACAGTATACATTGCCAGGAAGAGAAGTAAGACCCTTCCTGACCCTTACAGGTGACCGGCTGAAGCCCTGAGGGCTGAGATTTTTAAGAACATCAGATATGAACCGGAAGGGAACAGCAGGGCTTCTGAGACCTGTGCCCAATCAGACAATCCACGTATAAATTTGCCAAGCTCTATCTTAAACTAATTAAGTTGTTTGCCCCCCACAACTCTTATTGGGAGGCCGGTCCAAAACCTCACTTCTCTGATGATTAGAAACCTCCTAATTTCCAGCCTAAATTTATTCATGGCCAGTATATTCCCATTTGTTCTTGTGTCCACATTGTCCTTTAGCTCTTCACCCTCCCTGGTGTTTAACCCCCTGATATATTTAAAGAGAGCAATCATATCACTGCTCAGCCTTCATTTTGTTAGGTGAAACAAACCAAGCTCTCTTAGCCCCTCTCGTAAGGTTAGGCTCTCCATTCTGGAAAACTAATATGATGCAAATTCTAGAAGTTTTCATGGAAGGGAAGAAATGTGAATTAAGGAAATCTGGGTGGATCCAGGCTCCTTAAGGGGGTGCACTGAGGGTCTAAATACATAGGTTAAAGGTGCAATAGTTCTTCAAAAAGTTTCTTCAGTTCACCAAGGCAGGTATTGGGGTAAAAGGGAAGCTACTTTATGAATATAGTGTCAGAGTTATATATTCTTACAATGAATAGTACCCTATACTTCAATTATCCCATTGGTTTCAAGGACAACATTTAATTTTTATATTTTAGACAAATTATAGTTTACTATTATATATACTTTTGTTGTTTAATTTAGAAATTTTATTTTGATATTATTTTTTTAGCCTGCTTCAACAATCCTTTCCTATTTTTGTACTTAATATAGCCCTTATCAGAGTATTACACTGAAAATAATTTCTATTTCTCTACTTTTACTGGACATAGTAGACCCGATTTTAGTTGAGATGACAGTAGTACTATGCAAAAGTGAGGAAACAGGGTGAAACAAGACTGCCAACAGGACTGTTTTTTCAGTGTTATCAAAGGACCCAGGGAAATGTCCTTAGTCCTCATGGTTTTTAAACACTGAAAATAAAGGTTCATTTGGTGGCAGTGAAAATATAACTCATTTTACCCTGTACTGACATGATCCACCAAATTATATTGTGTGGCTGGTTGATAAGGATCAGAGGTTGTCCATCACACCAGCTTCCTTCCATTCATCCAGCTTCCCATTTCCTACAGATACTAGAACAGCTGGGAAACAACATCAAAACTGGATGGGCAAGAGACATAGAGCTGAGTGTGGTCAGCACATTGCTGGCATTGTAGCCCATGATGTCACACATTTTCTACCAGCAGTCTTGCACTGGTGTTGAACAGGAAGGGTTAAAAGCTATGGGCAAGAAAAGCAGCTATACATCTGCTAGGAATGATCAAAGCCAGCCTAAAGTGTACCCATCTGCCCCTGTGACGTCTTGTAAGCAAGTCTGCAGTACCTCCTTGATCAAAGGTGTCAAAGATAGCTAACAGGTTGAGGAGGAGGGGTAGCATGAAGATTTTTATTGACTAGTCAGGTTGGCTGTTGTCCAGTCCCATTCCTCAAGGGCTTTCCAACATAGTGGGGTGAGGGAGTTGCTGGTGCCAAACATTGTGATCTGGCAGAGTAACAGAACTATGCAGGACAACATATGTCTGAAAGCTCAGAGCCCATGCAGGACTTCCCTCATATGAAGAGATACACAAGAGCCTTTCAACATTTTTAAATGAAAACATTTGTCAAAATTGCCTTTTTTTAAAATGCAAAAAAGTCAGCATTGTCAAAAACTTCCATTTTCTCACAAATTGTTTTTTCCTTTTTTCCCCCCAAAATGCTTATTGCATATTGAAAATCTTAACAATTTTAGTTCACCAAAACCCAGATTTTCAGTCAATGAAAATGTTCTATAATTATTTCAATCATATTTTTAATTTTAAAAATGCAACAAAAAAAATCAAGATTTTTGAAAATTCTAGAAAAAACAAGTTTTCAGGTTTCAACCAGCTTTAATACTGATGTCAAGTTTAGTTGTTTGGAAAAGGGATCTTGTTCCAAGAAAGTGGAAGCTTTTTTTGTGAGCACTTCAACATAAATGCAATGCTTCCATCGTTATTGCAACAAGTGGCATTCAGAACTCCATTCCTTATGTTAAATTGTTTATTGGGATACAAGTACAGAGAAGCTACCATGCCAGTCTTCCCTTTTAGCCAAGTTGCTTCACTGATTTCCCATAGCAATGTTTTCCAAAGAACACCATGATCTAGTGATTAGAATACAAGACTGGAAATTAGGCTCCCTGTGTTCTCTTCTCAACTCTGCCATTGGCTATCTGAACGACCTTGGACAAGAAGATTCCCATCTCTGTCCCTCAGTTTCCCTGTCTATAAAACATGACATTTATTAAAGTGTTTAGGATCCTCTAATATAAAAGGACTATATAAATGCAAAGTACTACTTATTATTACTGCATGTTGCATAATCAGTCATGTTTTCTTACTAGTTTTTAAATATGAAATCAATTTCTTAGCCCTGGTCTACACTACGAGTTTAGGTCGATTTAACCCTTCACCCGTCCACACAACGAAGCCATTTTTGTCGACTTAAAGGCCTCTTAAAATTGATTTCTGTACTCCTCCCCGATGAGGGGATTAGTGCTGAAATCGACCCTGCTGGGTCGAATTTGGGGTAGTGTGGATGCAATTCAACGGTGTTGGCCTCCGGGAGCTATCCCAGAGTGCTCCATTGTGACTGTTCTGGACAGCACTCTCAACTCAGATGCACTGGCCAGGTAGACAGGAAAAGCCCTGCGAATTTTTGAATTTCATTTCCTGTTTGGCCAGCGTGGTGAGCTGATCAGCACAGGTGACCATGGAGTCCCAGAATCGCAAAAGAGCTCCAGCATGGACCGAACGGGAAGTACTGGATCTGATCGCTGTATGGGGAGATGAATCCATGCTATCAGAACTCCGTTCCAAAAGACGAAATGCCGGAATGTTTGAAAAAATCTCCAAAGGCATGAAGGACAGAGGCTATAACAGAGACTCGCAGCAGTGCCGCGTGAAACTTAAGGAGTTGAGGCAAGCCTACCAAAGAACCAGCGAGGCAAACAGCCACTCCAGGTCAGAGCCCCAGACATGCCGCTTCTATGATGAGCTGCATGCTGTTCTAGGGGGTGCCCCTACAACTACCCCAGCCCTGTGCATGGACTCCATCAATGGATTCTCCCGCAACAGGGATATGGATTTTGGGGACAAGGAAGATAGTGCACAGCAAGCAAGCAGAGAAACTGTTTTCCCCGACAGCCAGAAACTGTTTTTCACCCTGGATCTAGTACCCTCCCAACCCATCCAAGATGGGCTCCTGGACCTTGTAAATATAATACATGGTTTAAAAGCAAGTGTGTTTAATGATTAATGTGCCCTGAAGACTTGGGATGCATTGGCGGCCAGTACTGCTACTGGAAAAGTCTGTTAACGTGTATGGGGATGGAGCGGAAATCCTCCAGGGACATCTCAGTGAAGCTCTCCTGGATGTACTCCCAGGGTCACCTGGTTGAAATAGGGGAATTTTATTAAGGGGACATTCAGAGGTGGCCGTTCCTGCTGGGCGGTTTGCCTGTGGCTTAACAGAAATCATCCCCGCTGTTACCCACGCAGTGGGGCGAGGGGTGAAGCGATCATCCCAGAGAATTGTCGGGGGGGGAGGGTTAGTTGAGTTTGTGCTACACGTTAACCTGAAAACCGCAGCCCCTCCTTTTAAATGTCCAACCCATTTTAAATGGCCAACCCAACAGGTGCTTGGTATGGGAAATAAGGGTACTGCTGTTTGAAACTAACCTTCATAAGGTGTGGGGATGAAGAAGCCAAAAGACTGTGGCTTACCATGTCTGCCTGCAAGCTGAATTCTGTTGCCCACCAGCCCTGCGTGTGTGATCTCACACACCAAACCAGCAGGCCCTCAATATAAGAGGCAAAATGCGACCTTGTAAAGAAAGCACACAAGCTATGTAATATTAACAGCTTGGTTCACCATGAAAGAGTCTACCCATTGTTCTCTAAAATGTGTCTTTTTAAATACTACTTTCCCTTTTTTTCCTCCTGCAGCTGCAAATGTTTCAATTCTTCCCGTATCATCTCCGTCCCAGAGGCTAGTGAAGATTAGAAGGCGAAAAAACTGCACTCATGATGAAATGTTCTCTGAGCTCATGCAGTCCTCCCACACTGAAAGAGCCCAGCAGAATGCCTGGAGGCAGACACTGTCAGAGTGCAGGAAAGCACAAAATGAATGTGAGGACAGGTGGCGGGACCGAGAGGAGAGATGGCAGGATCAAGATGATCGGAGGCGTGATGAGAGGAGGCAGGAAGCAATGCTTAGGCTACTAGAGAATCAAATGGATATTCTCCAGCGTATTGTTGAGGTGCAGGAAAGGCAGCAGGAGCACAGACCACCGCTGCAGCCCCTGTGTAACCAACCGCCCTCCTCCCCAAGTTCCATAGCCTCCTCACCCAGATGCCCAAGAACGTGGGGGGGGGGGGCTCCAGCCACCCAACCAGTTCACCCCAGAGGACTGCCCAAGCAACAGAAAGCTGGCATTCAGTAAGTTTTGAAGTGCAGTGTGGCCTTGTCCTTCCCTCCTCCCCTCCTCCGCCACCCCTCCCAGGCTACCTTTGCAGTTATCGCCCCATTTGTGTGACGAATTAATAAAGAATCCATGAATTTGAAACAACAATGACTTTATTGCCTCTGCAAGCGGAGATCGAAGGGGGGAGGGGAGGGCGGTTGGCTTACAGGGAAGTAGAGTGAACCAAGGGGGCGGGTTTTCATCAAGGAGAAACAAACAGAACTTTTACACGGTAGCCTGGGCTAGTGATGAAACTGGTTTTCAAAGCTTCTCTGATGTGCAGCGTGCCCTGTTGTGCTCTTCTAACTGTCCTGGTATCTGGCTCCGCATAATCAGCGGCCAGGCGATTTGCCTCAACCTCCCACCCCACCATAAACATCTCCCCTTTACTCTCTCAGATATTGTGGAGCACACAGCAAGCAGTAATAACTATGGGAATATTGGTTTTGCTGAGGTCTAACTGAGTTAGTAAACTGCACCAGCGCGCTTTTAAACGTCCAAATGCACATTCTATCACCATTCTGCACTTGCTCAGCCTATAGTTGAACAGCTCCTGACTACTGTTCAGAGTGCCTGTATACGGCTTCCTGAGCCATGGCATTAAGGGGTAGACTGGGTCCCCAAGGATAACTATATGCATTTCAACATCCCCAATGGTTATTTTCTAGTCTGGAAAGTAAGTCCCTTGCTGCAGCCGTTCACATAGGCCAGAGTTCCTAAAGATGCGAGCGTCATGTACCTTTCCCGGCCATCCCATGTTGATGTTGGTGAAATGTCCCTTGTGATCCACCAGTGCTTGCAGCACCACTGAAAAGTACCCCTTTCGGTTTATGTACTGGCTACCTTGGTGGTCCGGTCCCAAGATAGGGATATGCGTTCCATCTATCGCCCCACCACAGGTAGGGAATCCCATTGCAGCAAAGCCATCCACTATGACCTGCACATTTCCCAGAGTCACTACCCTTGATCGCAGCAGCTCAGTGATTGCGTTTGCTACTTGGATCACAGCAGCCCCCACATTAGATTTGCCCACTCCAAATTGATTCCCGACTGACCGGTAGCTGTCTGGTGTTGCAAGCTTGCAGAGGGCTATAGCCATTCGCTTGTGAACTGTGAGGGCTGCTCTCATCTTGGTATTCTTGTGATTCAGGGCAGGGGAAAGCAAGTCACAAAGTTCCATGAAAGTGCTCTTATGCATGTGAAAGTTTCGCAGCCACTGGGAATCATCCCAGACCTGCAAAACTATGCAGTCCCACCAGTCTGTGCTTGTTTCCTGGGCCCAGAATCGGCGTTCCACAGATTGAACCTGCCCCATTAGCACCGTGATGTCCAAATTGCCAGGGTCCATGCTTTGAGAGAACTCTGTGTCCATGTCCTCATCACCCTCATCACTGTGCTGCCGTCGCCTCGCCTGCTTTTGAAGTTTCTGGTGCTGCATATATTGCAGGATAATGCATGTGGTGTTTACAGTGCTCATAACTGCCGCGGTGATCTGAGCAGGCTCCATGCTTGCCGTGGTATGTCGTCTGTGGAAAAAAGGCATGAAACGATTGTCTGCCATTGCTCTCACGGAGGGAGGGGTGACTCATGACATGGATTACAGGGTTGGCTTACAGGGAATTAAAATCAACAAAGGGGGCGGGTTTGCATCAAGGAGAAACACACACAACTGTCACACCGAAGCAAGCCTGGCCAGTCATGAAACTGGTTTTCAAAGCCTCTGTGATGTGCAGCGCACCTTGCTGTGCTCTTCTAATCTAATCGCAAACAGCCTAGTCAGCAAACAGCACCAGCGAGCTTTTAAACGTCCAAAGGCACATTAAGAACATAATAATGGCCATACTGGGTCAGACCAAAGGTCTATCTAGCCCAGTATCCTGTCTTCCGACAGTGCCCAATGCCAGGTGCCCCAGAGGGAGTGAACCTAACAGGTAATGATCAAGTGATCTCTCTCCTGCCATTCATCTTCACCCTCTGACAGACAGAGGCTAGGGACACCATTCCTTACCCATGCTGGCTAATAGCCATTAATGGACTTAACTTCCATGAATTTATCCAGTTCTCTTTTAAACGCTGTTATAGTCCTAGCCTCCTCAGCCAAGGAGTTCCACAAGTTGACTGTGCACTGTGTGAAGAAGAAATTCCTTTTATTTGTTTTAAACCATTCTACCCCCATTCTGCACTTGTTCAGCCTATAGTTGAACTGCTCCTTACTATTGCCCAGGCTTCATGAGCTATGGGAGCAAGGGGTAGGCTGGGGTAGGTGCCACCGCGCAGTGCTGCCGGCTGGGAGAGCAGCCTGAGGCAAAAGCCTCCAGCTGGCATGATATTCCAGGTAGGACTGAATCTACATTAGATGAAACTTAAAGAAGAGAATGACCTGGAGTCATTCCCATTTTTGTCTAGGCGCCCCCGACCGACCTCACCGAGGTCGGCCAAGAGGACCCATGTCTGCCCAGGTGCCCCCGACCAACCTCACCGAGGTCGGCCAGGAGCACCCATGTCTGCCCAGGTGCCCCCGACTGACCTCACCGAGGTCAGCCAGAAGCACCCACGAGGAGACGACAATGACGGTTAACAGTCGTATTGCACCGTCTGCCACCAGCAAGGCAAGGCAAGGAGATGCTGCTGTGTAGCGCTGCAGTACCGCGTCTGCCAGCAGCACCCAGGAGATGTACGTGACAGTGAGCTGAGTGAGCTCCATGCTTGCTGTGGTATGTCATCTGCACGGGTAACCCAGAAAAAAAGGAGAGAAACGATTGTTTGCCATTGCTTTCATGGAGGGAGGGGGGCCTGACGACATGTACCCAGAACCACCCGCGACAATGTTTTTGCCCCATCAGGCATTGGGAGCTCAACCCAGAATTCCAATGGGTGGCGGAGACTGCAGGAACTCTGGGATAGCTACCAACAGTGCAACGCTCCTAAAGTCGACGCTAGCCTTGGTACTGTGGATGCACTCCCCTGACTTAATGCGCTTAGTAGGGACACACACAATTGACTGTATAAAATCGATTTCTAAAAAATCAACTTCTATAAAATCAACCTAATTTCGTAGTGTAGACATACCCTTAGTGTCCCCATGTTATGTATTACTGGACTGGATGAAGCAGGCAAATCCTTTGCCTTCCAGTTACCCATTTTCATGATATTTACAAATTAAGCAGTGTTTTTTTTTTTTTTTTTTTTTTT